GGAACTAAGAACTCGTGCATTTTTAAAAGGTGATAGTGCTAAGTAAACATTCTCAGGTGAAACCACAATTCGAACCCAGGTTTATCGATTCCGTTTCCTCAGCAGGCAACCGTTAGGCCCTCGCTCCCTCACGCGCTGCAAGGAAGTAAAAAAAAAAAAGGAAAAAAAAGAAAATAAATTGGTAGAAGTTTTTGTTACCTGGTTTTTCTTCGTTTTTTTATTTTTTATTTTTTTTGCCGTCATTTAGTTTGTTTCAACCTTTTGTTTGCATTCTTTTATATGTCAACAGGGACGTAATACTTTATTTTCCTCTAATGTGAACAGAGACTTTAACAAGTAAGAATTTGAAAGACGACGTATAAAGGCCGAAAGAAAAATATGAAGAAAAAGAAATAAAAAAGGAAAGGAGCAAGAAAATTATTATATATATATATATATATATATATATATATATATATATATATAGAGAGAGAGAGAGAGAGAGAGAGGGGTTTATTTCAAACTGTTTGTACTTATCGGCCCGTAACTATGTGACATCTTTTGCTAGTGAAACTTGACCTTTGAAATGGACGACAAAAAGCTTAAACTTAAACAAAAGGAACTTGAATAGAAAGGGAAGCAGATTTGAAATGTAAAAACGCCAATTAAGGCCTGCGACACGACACAACTGTTAACAAGCAAAGTAAGCAGACTTTTATTTCCAGGCGAAGCAATTATTAACAAGGATTGTGTGCGTATATTTTATGGATTGTCACCCCGTTTCAGATTCTCTGTTTAAGTTGAATTTAAAAATATGATTATAATGCTGATGATATTGACTTTTGTTAACTTTTGGTAGCGTAATTGGTAGATCTATCTATCTATCTATCTATCTATCTATCTATCTATCTATCTATCTATCTGTGTGTGTGTGTGTGTGTGTGTGTGTGTGTGTGTGTGTGTGTGTGTGTGTGTGTGTGTTATCCGTTGTAGTTATGAAATTTTTTACAAAACATGCGTTTCAGTATGAGGGGGCTGACCAGGAATTGGTAGAAATGTAAAATGACATTAGTATATCAATGTTATATGTACTTTAATATGTTGTTGCTATATTGGTAAGAGATTTTGTTGAGTGTTGGTTGATCGATTTTAATATAGAGGGATCAAATTTTTTGTGTTTGTTGGACTTGGGTGTATTCAGTTCGATTATTGACAAGTACAATTGGTTTCAGTGTCAATATTTAAATGTAATTATTTATAAAAGGACCGATAAATTTTCATTAAAAAATATTATAAAGAATTCCATACGAATACCGATATACAGTAACCACATCAAGTTGGCAACAACGCGATGAAGGCGAGAAAAAGGATCTTTTCTGTTAATTCACTCCAAAATAAAAAGAATTTATATTTACTAAAATTCACACCAAATTCTCCCAGAGCGAGGCCCTTCCATTGCACTTCGGTTGTATTGGGTTTTGTGATCGCTCCAAATGTGTGCGACTCGAGCGCACTATTTTTAAGTGTGGGAGGGTTGTATCCGCACTCACCCCAATAAACAAGCCAAAAAGAGATTTAAAAAAAATTTTTTTTTAATTTTAAAAATTCCTTGTAAGCTGCATCCTTTCCCCAAATATGCCTCTTTACTCTTGTTCTTAATCCTCTGTAACCCCTTGCGTGCCAGTGGCACTCTTGTCTTGGTGAATTGCTTAAAAAAAACAACCCCCAAACCCCTAAAAAACTCGAATATAATAAGCACTTATGAAATGTGAATAACTCTTTGATTTCTGGTCATTTTTCATTCATTTCAGAGTTGGAGTTTTTGTGTGACAAGCTAAACAAATTTATAATTCCAAAAGAGTGCCAAATATTGAATATAAGAACTAACAAACTTTGATTTAAAATTTATAATTTCTTGGGGTGAATTAATATTTCTGATAAGTAACTTTACATTATTTGGGGGCGAAGTAACAGAAAAGATCCACAAAAATAATAGCACAAATACACTGATAAAATGTTCAGACAATATGTTCAAGCGTAGACAAAGACAAGTAACAGTTCTTACACACACCCAAACTCCAAAACAACACATAAGAAAGTCCAGACACTAATTTTCTAAACCCTCAGTCGGAAACTCAGTTTAGCGCATGCTCATATATCTGAACGTTATGACTGGAGCTTGTCTCACTCAGACTGTATGTCGGCCTGTAGTAATTATTTCGAGAATGCATAAAGACTTTTTTTTTTCTTGACTCGTTTTGCTAACATCTGTCCTCGTCACAAAGAAAGTACATACAATAGAATCTCCCTACAAATATTATTTGCATTTACAGTGCTACCATTCTGCTTTGGCAACAATTACCACCCTCTGTCTCTGTTGGACAACAATAGAATGGCGGCCATTTTGGCTTGATTGTCAGATTTGTTTACCGAAAGAAAAATCTCGAAACATTGTAACCAGACTCAATTCAATTCGATCTGATGAGAATGGTTTCAGAAGTGAACGGAGCGATATTTCTTTTTTTTCGTCTTTATATTTAATACAATCAGATATCATCATTTGTTTTTTCGCACAAATTATGGGAAAGGTTGCGGTTATAGAAATGTTATTTTGATATACGAAATGGATCCAGCGGCGAAAAAATTTCACGTCATGTTTATGACTTGCAAATGAATTTAGTGTTGTCTGTTTCCATCTAAAAAGATACGTGGAGATTTTCATCAGATGTTTTAAGAATGGTATATATATTTTGATGATACTCTGATATTAGTGTTGATAAGAGTGTAATGACAAAAGTACGCAGTTGTAAGCTTTAAGGAAGCTTTATTCAACTGAGAATACAAGGTTTTGATTATTCATAACAAAGAGTATTATTCAAGAAGGACGTTGTTAATAACTTGACTGAAATAAAGTGCAAATACGGAATAAACAAAGATTGGTACAATAAATTCGCCATGCTACACCAAAGTCAGTAACTTAATGTTGTAGAGTGGTTTCACAATGGAGGCTTGTATTTGTACTAAGTCGGTCCTAAAATAGGTTCGACGTACAAAACGTTAGGAACTTGATATAATAGGTAATGACGCAGAGAAATCTAGTGGTAGTCGCTGATACTTTTAGTATCTGACTAACGGTCGTCCGGCATCGACTGACTGAGCAACTCCGCGACCCCTCGTTACTCTTACTACTCCTACTTATTATAGGTGGGAGAGTCTATTAACTATAGAATAGGTGTGTTCCACTATAACACTTAAAATCTGCCTGAAGAAAGAATTCACATAATTAATAGCCCGAGATAGAAAATGATGAAATTGGAACACAGATGAGCAGCTACAGACTAATAACTTGCCTACTCAAGATAAATTAAATCTTGACTGAACAAATAGTTGAAGAAATATATCACTCTACGCAGAACCGGAAGAAAAAGGCAGGATGATTCTAAAGGAGAGCAAATCAAGGTGAAAAATCTCATGTAATGAATTGACTAAAGGAGAGAATACAACAGGCATACGTGGATAATTCCATAGAAAACATAATTTGACTATTGAAGGGGAAAACTTAACAGATTAGGAGTCAGTTTTTCGGCGGGGGTGGGTAGGGATAAATGATTTTACTTTTGTTGAACATAGACATGACACGACCGAATGTAATCTTGAAAAACACGGAAGCATAGCATTTAGAAAAAAAGATAAACAAAAATTCATCTTTTTAATCAACAAGGATGAATTCAATTTGTATTTTTAGAACATAAAGAAAAAGTAACGTTGATGAAACTAGGACATCAACCAAAATGATGACATCGAAATGAAGTTTGAGATAGAGACGGACACACTATTAGTTATGTCAAAAAACAAAGCTCACGACTACAGATGAAATTAATCAGCCAGTCAGAAAAATAGCGTTTTAACCACAAATGACCTTTAGAAATAGACACAACATATTATCCATGAGAAAGCTGATAATTAAATATGATGTAATCAGTATGCATACACCTGTGTTCCCCCTCACAGTAATATGATTGGCTGGTGTTAGCCATAAATACAGACTAATGTGGAAGTACATGGACGACGCCTATTGTCTTCGTCTAATGCCTACGCCTATTGCCTACCCCTACGACGAGGACCAGTCCATTACGGTTACCTGCTAGATTGTCCTACCCGGTTACAGTAGTCAACAACCACTTCGCTACTTCGAACAAATATATCCCTTGTCGGGACATATCAAAATATATACTCTAACTTCCAGACAAGAAAATAAATTTTTAACCGCAAAGGATCCTTTGAAATTCTCAATGCTAGTTATACGTAAGTGAAAGTATATTGCGAAACACCAGGAAAGAGATGAAAGCATTAATCAGAAGTAACCCTTAGAAATCCGTAAACGAAAACAGGAAATAACGTAAGGCGTTAACCACAACAGAACGTTAGAAATAAATAGTACTAGTTATATGTAAGAGATGCAAATTATTACAGTTCAAGAAACGGTGCTAATCACAAAAGTTCCTTCAGTAGAAATGCACCCTCATTGAAAGCTCAAGATTACAGATGGAATTGAACCGCCAGACTAAAAATGAAGGTGTTAATCCCAAAGGACTTTTAGAAATGCACTTTACTGTTTATTCGTTAGAGAAATCTCATGGCGACAGATGAACTTGAAATGACAAGCAAAACGTGACTGTGCTAACTCCAACTGATATTTAGAAAAGTAAACTACAAGTTTTATATAAAAAAAATTTCAGGGCGACAGCTGGAATTGAATTTTGTATAATAGAAACAAATCAACAGAAGGAACTAAAGTAGCCAATCATAAATCCTTTAAGCAGAAAGATATGAAGGAAAATGTCTTCAAAGAATACCTAAGACGAACAATGAAATATTGCAAACCAAACTCTATGACATAATATTAAAGAAATAATATCTGGGTTGCTTGTGGGATGCTTCAGATATTTTTTTAACTGGACAAGAGAGGAACTCAGGATGTTGAACTAGAAAGCAAGAAAACTAATGAGAAAGCTCTGCACTCAAGATATCGACATGCTGCATGATAGAAGAAAATAGAAAAGAAAACTCGTCAATTTTGAGCATTGCGTTGACTTATCAGTCAAAGGACTGGAAGAGTACACGAGACAAAGAAAGAAGAAAGTTGCTGAAAACAGCCTAAAATTCACGACAACGAACAGACGAATCCCGAAAACACAACCCAGATAAGAACTAAAAAATGAGTAGAAAAATTCTATGGAGATTTCAGAAGACAATTTGAAGGAATAACAAATAAATCGATATTGGCATGGCTAACTAGGTGGGGGTGGGGAACTTGAGAGAGTGTGAGTCGCTCTTTAAAATAAAAACAATTCTTCAAGCACCAACTCTATGATAGACAAAACAGGAAAAGCGCAAGTGTAGACGAGACAACGACATAATCGGCGAATGTCGCAAACTGACGTAGACATAATATAAGAATATAGAATAGGCATGGCTGGGCGAGGAAGGTTATTTACTGTGGAAAATGCAAGCGTTTGTATTTTGACCAAATAGACGAATGATATATGTACAGACCAAATTTTTTTAATGAATGAAACAAAAAAATTCTTTAGGATTTTGAGATTCAACCAGATCACTCCATACAGGCCAGAAGACCAGATCTGGTAATAGTAAACAAATAAAATCCCACCAAGAATTTTGTTGGATAAACAATAATTAAATAGGCGAATATCACCAAAATACTTGCGGGCGTAGTGGTAGATATACCACGTGTTATTTTTGGACCATTTAGAAAATAACAAGAATAACTTCCTTCACCACTCCCGCAAATTCGAGAAAATGATTTTCGCGAGCCAGGGTGAAATTATTTTAACTAATGAAAACCTTGCATTCAAAAAGTTCACACCTCTATCTGAAATTAGATTTTGGATCTCTCTTACGGATATAAAAATAGAAGCATAATGCTTCTCGGTAGTTCAGAACAATTTTAGAACCCAATTTGATCTACACGTGCGTACACACGCACCTACACACACTGAAAGAGATGAGCCAGCAACCGCCGACTAAGGCCTTATTCACGCACTGACAGAATCATTAAGCTGACCATCATAAAGTAAGTCTGTCCACACATCTCATATCTCTCCATGAACACTTAATTTAGAAAACAAATTTTACTGCATGGAAAATTGAACATTTTATTTTTATTGTATATTTCTGAAAAGAATATATAAATGTTATTTCAACTGACTTTCTGCTTCTAATTTACCTTTAGAGAATTACGGTTTTCTTACGTTTCATTTAAAAGCTGTGTTGTTGTTGTTCCGTATTTTGAATCCCGACACTCAGATAACAACAAAAACCTGAGTAGACAGATACCAACGTCTTTCCTAAATGTTTTTTTTTATTCTTTCAAGGTGATAAATGGTAAAATTTCATAACTATTTAAATCAACAGTGTAGAAGAAGTCATGTTTTTTATCATTTCACCCCAATGCAAGGTAGTATAGTCACTAAGACACAAGGAGTTTGAAAGAATAAAAAAAAAGAGAAACATTATTAAGGAGGGAGAAAAATAGAAGAGTAATCAGATAACGATTGACATTGCATTTAAATTTTTGAAGCCCAAAGTTGGCTAGAAAGCATGGGGTCGGAAGGGAGTTCCACAAGCGATAAATGCTAGAGAATAAACTGTTAGCATTAATCTTATGGTTACATGTAGCCAATTCTACTGTGAGTTGATGAAACCTTGCTTATATTCATGAAGTCTAAGTACCATCGCCAAGAGTTCGTCCGAACAATTACCATGAAAGTATTTACAGAAAAGGGAAACTACATGGCGGCGGTGGGAAAGTGACTGAAGCCGAAATGCCAGGTCATATTTTAATCTTCAAAAGATTAATTCGCCTATGAGAATTTTTGAAAGTATCGACTCTTCTCTGTATCTAATTTACACAGAGAATACATAGAGAATTAATAAATAATAACTAAACACATAGAAGATCCCAGCACGGCATTTGGATTGCTTTTTCAAAGAAGAAAGGACATTCTTTATGATCAGCAGTCTGATACCTCTACCGTGGGCTGGCATTTGTAAAGGTCACTGAATATGTAAGTGCAGAGCGAATTTAGGAAGCGTATAAATTTCGATTTAACTGTCAATAGAAATAAAATTTTAATCACGATCGACACTTAGCCTACTTTGTGGCTGAAGTAGTTGCACACATCCCATTAGCTCAAGAGGTCGGCGTTCACACCTAAGTAAGAGCCATGAATTTGAATGATATCTTTAAAAAATACTGGAAATACTTGTCATATCGACGTGTTTTCTGTATGAGTCACTCAGGTAATTTATCTCTACAATATGCTGTCGTTAAAATTAAAAAATACCCTAAAGAAAGCTAATCAGTTCAGTTATGGGCCATGTGTGATAGACGATCATGTATCTTTCGATACATGACTATCCATTACTCGGTGGAGTAATGGATAGCGGCTCGGATTGAGTATTCGGAGAGCCGAGTTCGAATTCCAGTCGAATCTATTACATTCACTTACGTGCTAATACCCTTGGGAAGGGTATGAATCCTCTTCCTCTCCCCACAGCTATAGGTAAATAGTAGGACAGAACGGGTTCTTTAGTCTTGGATGGCAACTGGTCTACCACAGAAAGAAATAGCAACCTACTACGGGAAAAATCTGCCTCGTCAGTGATGTATCGAAAGATACATGATCGCCTAAGCGTGTATCACGTATGGCACATAACTGAGAAAGCTAATACGAAACAAAATAAAATTAAAAGTACTGTATTAGAAATGTGATCTCCTCTATTTACTAATGGTCTATTCATTCACAGGCATAGAGTAATAATGTATGTCACCATAATACCGGCGTATTCCATTAATAAGAAGTGGGGATAAGGTCGCTTGACTGATAAATGCAGTAACATTGTGTTTTATATAATAGATGATGTTTGTTGGCAGACTGATGGCTGAAGAAGAGAGAGAGAGGTGGTAAAGGAGGAGGAAGAAGAGATAGAGAGAGGTGATAAAGAAGGGATAGTAAGAGAAAGAGGTGATAAAAAAGGGGGATGAATGAGATAAGTGATAAATAAGGAGAGAGGAAGAGAGAGAGGGTTGATATATGGGAGGAAGAGAGAGAGGTGATAAGAAGGAGGGAGAAAGAGAGAGAGAAGCGTGATAAAGAAGTGGGAGAAAGAGGTGATAAAGAAGGAGGGAGGAAGAGAGAGGGTGATAAAGAAGGAAGAAAAAAGAGAGAGAGAAGTAATAAAAAGAGGAAGGAAGAGATTGGTGATAAATGAGGGAGAAAGAGAGAGAGAAGGTAAAGCACAAAGGTGGAAGAGAAAGAGAGAAGATAAAAAGGAGGGAGGAAAAGAGAGATGCGGCAAAAGAGAGAAAAAGGAGATAAAGAAGGAGGAAAGAAAAGTGAGAGGTTATAAATATGTAAGGGGAGGAGAGATGTGATAAAAGAGAGCGAGAGATATAACGAAAGTGTTCAGAGAGTGTAGTAGAGGTGCGGACGGAGTAAAAGAAACATAGAGAGGGAAGGAGGGAGAAGATAATGTTTATTTTCTTTCTCTGTTTCTAAATGTTTCCAGTTTTGAGTTGACTCTTCCACTGGCACCAGCAAAATCAACGAAGAAAATGAAGCAAAGTAATGCACAGTTGAAGTAAAATAGATAAACGCTGCTCACATCCTGATGGATAGAGACATACTTCGAATTTCATTATCTTTAGATCATTCAAATGGATGCTCTGTTCTTGCAAGAGAGAGAAAAAAACCAACTATCTTGTCATCTCAATGGTTGCAAGCAGTTTGCGATGCACAGGTGACCAAATTACTTCATTTCATACGAGCGATCACGCGAAGTCTCGTGAAGTTGTCGCGAGACAATCTTCTTCACTGCGTCCATTGCGCTGACGTCACTCGAATGCCAATCCAAATGTCAAACAGGTGTTGCGTGCCGACCTTTCTCACGCAAACACCCGTCCATTCTGAAGAGCACAAACAATACAAATCGCAACCATGATCAAAAATAGGGTCACTGCTTCAAATCGAAACGATTTGTTGTTTGGGTCAACACCCAAATGATTCATTTGCGTTGTTCACTTCATTTGAACCAATAACTAGTGGTTATCGCCATATTTGATTTCCTATGGAGCAGACAGTGAGGGAGTATTTGCTGCCAGGATAAACATACTATTCTTATTACATCTAATTACTTTTAGAAACGTTACATGATATTTTGAAGACTTATTTAGTGAGGTTTGTAAAGGTAGAATTGCCCTGAAATGAAATTAGCCCTCATATTTATTTCCCTGTCTCCCCAGATATCTCTACAGTTTTCAGAATTAAAATATCGCAGATTTTGGGTCTCTAGTTAGCACTGAAGAAAATATAATTGGGAAAGGTATTAATCCATCTCCCCCAGCTATGGTTTAAATAGTATGACTTGTATCTGGAAAACAGTTGTTACTCTCAGAAATATTAATGTAATATACATTCGCAAAAATAAAATTATTCTTACACTCTAAAATATGTTTCGGCTTTATATATATATATAACCCACAAAGGGTTGATAAACTGTAAATACAAATCAATGAATCAATAAAACGGAAGTAATTAATTTCATCCGAGTGGGCTCCTTATGGATGCGTGTGTAGCGTAAAAAGTGGTTTCGGTGAGCCGTGTTCAAATTCCTTCTGAGGCCATTGCACTTACTTTCGCACAATTTTAGCCAGATATCTCTGGTCATGATCATCAAGGACCCGTGGTTGGCTACTGCATTGCACCCTGTGAGCGGTAATATCTTCCATCAGGTATTATCCCGACACCTTAGAGAGAGGGACGAGGAATGTCTCCACAATTTCAGAGATGGAATGTCCAATGCGTCAATCACCTACAATCATGTCCCGTTCGAACTCCAATAATTCACGTCGTCTTTCCATGATCAATCTATTCGGTGTTCACATTGACTCACTTGATGGGTATTTCCATGACTTCAATTGATTGATGCATTTGTTGTTTTTTTACGATTTATCACCCTTTTGCAGGTCATTAAAAGCCAGAAAATGTTTTAGGATTGTAAGAATATTTTGGAGACAATAATGATTTACTGATACAAATTCTACTATTTAACTCATAGATGCAGAGAGAAGAGGTGGAGTCACACCTTTCCCAAAAATATTTGCACGTAAGTGAATATAACAAATCCAACTGGAATTTGAACTCGGCCCTCCGATTAACAATTCTGAGCAATTATTCATTACACCACCCGTACATCCAAGTTTACACCACCTGGTATTCCCAAGCGGTCACCCATCTAGGTACTGACCAGGTTCGACGTTTCTTAACCATGACTTCAAGCCACGGTGGTGCCACCTAACATTGCGTTCACATACTGTCATCCCATGACCTTTGACACGTCAGTGTACTTCCAGTTAATTCCTAAAATTATTTTAAATTTGTAATCGATCCTTAAACTTTCCAATGGATCCATATAATTCTGTTTCTCTTTTCAATTGAATTTTCAGTTGTATTTTATCCACAACTGAACATTAAAATTCTTAAGGTTTTCAATTGAACTTTAAAATTATCATTTCCTATTAATTATTAACCTTCTTTTTCTATTTTCTATTGATCCTTAAATCTGTTTTTCTATTTGGCTATGAGATGCGTAAATTTTGCTAAAGGCCTACACGGAGAGATACGTAAATATGAATATCTTTTTTTTCTGGTTTGAATTTTAAACTTATAATTATGAATGAATCATTTCATAGTTGATATCGGAACATTATTTTGTGGGTGGGCGGCCCAATTAAACCTCAGTTTGGAAAATGTATTGTTAACATGTAAAAATGTCCCGAAGGAACGTGAAATAAATTGTTCGTAAGGAATTTAAGTTCAGACGTTACAAAAGGAGCAAGACAAACTGTGATTGGTGGATAATTATTTGAGCCCGAGGAATTAAATTCCATAAAATTTTCCTTGAGTGTAGATTGACGTCAGAGATGACGCAATATAATTTTATATAAACAAAACTATAATAATAATTATGAAATGGACAAAGTCCGACAATTATTTTAAGACAATTGTTATGTTTAAACATAAATAAACAGTATTAAATAACATCTACCGGCCTTTTCATAGAAAATATTCGTCCCCGACAGGATTCAAACCTGTATCCTATACGGAACCGTCATATAGCCTGACGTGCTTTTAAAAGCAGTAAATTCGACATCGCTAACTGATCGATCCTCTGTGGCGAAATCGGTAAAAGCACGTCAGGCTATATGACGGTTCCATATACGATACAGGTTCGAATCCTGTCGGAGGACGAATACTTTTTGTGAAAATTTCTCGGACATTCAGGTTAAATGTTGTTTAATACTGTTTATATAAACAGAGCATATGCTTAAATATTTGTATCTATAAAAAGAATGTTAAACATAAAAATATATTAATATAATAATAATAATAATGTACAGCTCACATATTACAAAGAGTTTTGTCTATGTAAAATGTTTTTGATCATAGTTTTTTTTTTTTTTGTTTTTTTTACAAAAATGATAAGGGAAAAAGTCATGAAGTCATTTCTGACTTTAGATCTCTGGTTGGGATCCGAAAAGAAATGTATATACAACAGGAATCAAAGGACATAATAATAATAATAATAATAACAAGAACAATTGACTTCTGGTCAGCGCGGTGCCTAAACCAACAAGGAGACCTTTCAATGATAGGGCAAGAAAGAGTTGTGTGTTCTTACGGTAATGAGCCGTAGTCCGTAACTATGTAAATATCGCCCCGAGCCGTAATAAGAAAACCATGTTAACTTGCAACCATAAAAGTTTTGAAGAAGTTTTATCTGGAATAAAACGATTAATGTCCCTGTTAAAGAGGAAATAAACAGAAAAATATTAATAAAGAAATACAGATGTGAGCTCATCACTAGTTTTATTCTGAATTTATTCCACGCAGTATTGTTGACTATTTATTCATAGTAGTAATAACTTTAAGTTGTGTGATTTTGATAGAAGTCTTTTCACTTATTACATTATTTCTCAATATCTTAATTAGCTTAAAACCACTTGAAAGTTACTTTTCTGTTTATAAGTAACCGAAAATAATCATAGACTTGAAAATAAGGACCAGTGTTACGAGAGTGAATATTTTTACTTGATAGTGCTTTGTAGATAGTCGTTTTACTTGCTAGTGCTTCGTAGATAATCATTTTACTCGATAGTGCTTTATAGATAATCGTTTTACTTGATAGTGCTTTGTAGATAATAGCTGGGTGACCGCTTGGGAATACCAGGCGCTGTAAGCTTGGATGTACAGCTGGTGTAATGAATAATTGCTCCGAACATTTCTTCAATATACTTAAGCAAATAATTAAAATCTGCACATAGCAGTGAGATAATGAATTGACATACGAACAAGAAACAAACCATAGATTTTTATTTTGTAGAGGCGTTAACGAAGATTTAGAAGGATTTAACAACAACTGTTTCAAGACCTCTTGCATCAGCTGCAAGAGTTCTTGGAAAAGCATCTCCAGGCTTTTGTAAAATTATAAACTTAATGCATATTACTGACTCCTAAAAGGATGGGATCAGTAATGTACATGAGAAAGACATAGGGTGGATGGACGATTGAATAATTTTTTGAAGCCATAGGTTTTCTACCGGTCTGGCATCTCGCTAAAGTCACTTTCTCATAGACGTGCCGTTGCTTCCCTCTGTCTTGTCTACAAGTACTTTCACGCTAACTGTTCCGACAAGTTATTTTCGCTGGTTCCCAAACTGCATTAATTTAAGCATGTTACTAGGTCGGCATCTCAGTCCCACCCTTTCACTGTCGAAACGGTTAAATGTAGCCGTCTTTTCTACTCCAATAGCTTCATGTCTCGCACTTCCCATCTGTGGAACTTCCTTCCTCTTATTTGCTACCCTGACAGTTATAGTCTTCAAATATTTAAATAATGTCGATCGACATCTTCTGATGCCTTGATTTAATTCCCCGTCTTACTCTTTATCCTTTCCTCAATCACGTCTCTTTACTCTTGCTCACATTCTCAGTAATCCCTTCCGTGCTAGTGGCACTCTCGCCTTGCTTGGGATGAAAAATAAAAATAAGACTGAGGCGACTGGAGATATCTGCCTCTCCTTAGACGGTGTACTGGGTGTAGCATTTACCTATTTTTCATTTTATCATAGAATAAAAAGATTTAGTTTTACTTAATAAAAGTTTACAGATTCATTGTTATATTTATGGACAATAGTTTACATATATTTATCATTCAAACTGACCACGATTTGCTTTCAGCGTCGCCCTTAATTTCTTCTCAACTGAAATGCACGCCTTTTTTTTTACTGTCTTCTGTCAAACTGTACTAAAATCAAGTAAGTCTTTCATACTCAAATATACCAGACTTAAAGTCTGACGGTTGAATATGAGAGACGGGAAACATCACTCCAATATGGACGATATCGCAAAGTCTATAGGATTAATGTCAAGGCTTGATGGAGGACAAATTAAATTATCAAAACATTCATGGAAATGTCTCTTGCAACAGTTCTGCGTCAAATTAGTTTGTGGATGGGAGCTCTGTCTTGAGCGAAGCCATGACGACTTCCAAATGTGGCAACATAGCCCGCTCCAACATTTGCTAGTAAAGTCTGCTATTCACTTTCACTTCTCCTTCAATGAGCACCAAGGACGACTTCGAACCATCAGAAGCAGCAGCAAACCAAACCAGGATACCAGTTGGTTTCTGTCGCTAGAAATGTGTTCTGACACATTCGGGAATGTTTCCTGATGAAGTGGCGTAGACCCTATCGTTTTGGTATTTGGCCACAGCCTTCACAGTGGAAAAATTTTTCGTTTGATCAAACGAAGACTTTGTCTGCGGCACGTTCATCTCTTTCAATATTTTCGTCCCCTTGCCAAGCCGCTTTGGATTGGTGGCATTGGGAGCAGCTGTTGTATGGTTTTAGCTCTAAATCCTTTTTCACAATCCTCCTTAGCGACATATTCGAAAATATCCAGATTTTTGTCATCTTTCCTATGCTTCCTCGGGGATTTCTTTTCACCCTCTTCTTGTCGGCTTCAATTACTCTGCTGCTCCGAACTGAAGGGTTTCTTCCTGGAATTGAATTTGATGAGGTTGTTTGCTCCTCCTGAAAGATTTTACCAGCCATTTTATATGCGACAATTTGATAACATTTTATTTGAGTCGCCGTATTTAATTAAACTGTAAACAATAAAACAAAAGAATGTTAGGAAACTTTATGCAAAATTTGAAACTATTTTAAATATTTAAATAATGGGAAAATATTTATTCCGCATCCGGTACTCAAAATGTAGTAGAAACCTTCAGTAGATTGAAAGACCCGTTCTAGTCGTATTGCTAAAACTGATAAATATTTTAAGATTTATTTTGTTCTATTATAATTCTTACTATTAAGTTTTAATTTATACTAAATTGTAGTGGTTTCTCTATATAACCGCTTGTCTTACCCGTTTTCCACCATCACCACACTAATATTTTGCTTTTATTTCCGCCGTCTGTTTATGTCTTTCAAAGTACCTATTGTATATAATGCGAAGGGTGTTCCAAAGATTTTGAGTTCAGCTTTCTAAATGACGAGGCAGTAAGAAAAACTTGTTTTTATTTTTTTTTGTTTTTATTTTTTCAGCAAAGGTTGTTTCCTCAGAGCGCCCAGACTGTGGTTCGACTTCAAGGGATCTCCTTCCTGACAACACACAACAACCCAACGACTGAGCGACGCAAACAAATGGGCGTTCTTCGTGTTAGACATTTTGCATGTGATCTCAAAATTTCCGCGGTACAATTTGTTCCAGAGTCAAAAACACAATAAATCGCTAAACTTTAATTTCTGACTCTGCTCTTCGTCGGTCTTTGTCAATTGCTGGAGATTTTTTCATTGCTTCTGAAATGTCTCTTTAAATATCGCGAGCGAAGAAAGTGTTCAATGTTTGAGAAAACAACAACAACAACAACAACAACAACACACACACACACACACACACACACACACACACATACACACACATGTGCACTTTTGATTAAAAACCAACGAAATTTTCTTGTTGATTTTTTAAGATTTACTTTCTCATTATTTAGACATTTTAAAAGACATTTTGTTGTTTTCTATGTCATCTGTTGTTTTTCTAAACATTGAGTTTTGCCCCGTTGGCTTCTATCGTGATTTACGTGAGTCTTGAAAACGTAATATTAAAAAACAATAAACTGATATCAAACAAACAACAAAAAAAAACTCTTTGAAAATGGCTAGTGTTAGTCAAAAGTCTTTAGACGTGGGAAGATCTATTTACAAATATGAATCGAAAACCAGAAAAAAAAAACATTAGAAATATTGAAACAGTAAATAAAAAAAATAATCAACAAGGAACTTCCGTTGATTTTTAATCAAATGTGCATCAATGAAAAATTGCTGCCCAAATGCATTCCATATCGTGAAATACATCTGTTTGATGCTTTGGTACACAATATCAGTGGTGCTTTTAGCCAAGGATCATTAGAGATTTAGGGTCTTTCCAAAGCATACCCCCTCTTCATGGTGACCCAGTCAATACTGATCGGATGTCTAGCATGTTTCTCTTTTATTCATTATTTATTATAAAAGTGAATCATGTTAGATCGATAAATGTTTCCTATTTGTTCTTTATCCTATCATTCTATTGGATTCCGTTTCATATTTGATCTGTATTTGATCCTAATTCACACACACACACACACACACACACACACACACACACACACACACACACACACACACATATATATATATATATACATAAGTATAGTTAAAAACGACTGACAAGGTACTGCGGTTAAGTTTTGTATTGTGTCCTTGTATTACAATTATTTCTTTTCTGGACATAAATTATGTAGAAATTGTCCGAATACTCTGTATATCCGAAAGCTTTCAGCTATTCTTTTAGCCATTATCAAGGATGATTGTATTTTAACTGAATGTATGAATTTCTTTTGTTAGCATATATATATAGCGGACATATATTTTAGGTTGAGTAAATTTTTTAAATACCTTGTTTTCAACATGAGACATAAATTTTTTAACTGTTATTTATCGTAAAACAAGTTCGTTTTTTTTCTGAATGTTGTGTTATTTTCCTTGTTGGCTGCCGGGTCATGTAATTTGAATCCACAAATATTAAATACATAGTAGAGTGTTTTCCTCTTGTCTACTCGTTGGTTTTGAATTCAGAGTTTTCCCTCTCTTAGACTGGTTGCCAACGAAGAATAGAAAGTTCAGTATAATCTGATATTTAACCAATAGCTGGTCTGGGGGGAGACAGAAGAGATAAATTCTTTCCTTTCCCAAGGATATTAGTGCGAAAGTACAAACGCAATAGACACGGCTGAAATTTGAACTCGGTTCGCTGATTTCTCGCCGATAACCTTCACGCTACCCGCACATACAGCCAGTATTTAAAAAATCTACAATACACGATAACTGTCCAATGATCAATTTATATAACACAATCTGTTCATATTTATCTCACAATCACTTATTATCACGACCCTACACGTATGCTTTGTCAAATTTATAGAGAAAATAAAGAAAAGATTCGTGATTTAGTTGACCGAGTTACAAGATTTTGCCGCAAGTGTTTAACCACATGTTCAGTACGGATGCATGAAATTGCAAAAATTGTTTACAAAAATATAGACTGTAAAACCGCTTTTACAACATCACAGTGCTGAAGTCTCCATAGAATTATTGCTCTTTGGAAAGACATGCTCCCCGAGCACACAAACTATACAATTTCATAACACTTGCTGTAATGTAACAGTTGAAAAATTAATCTTGGTAGCCATTAAAAGTTTAAAAAAATCTCCACCTGCGAAAGACTGCACATCACGCATGACTTAAAAATTTCACTCATTGTACAATATTTCAGGCCGACACATCCTCACAATTGTCTAAGCCTGCTGAAAGATGGGATTTTATGGAGCCGCCATCTTTATACTCGTTTTCTACCAAGGCTATAGATTTCAGTCTACCCTGCTATTTAATTCATAGTGAGTTCCTTATTGCGTCCCTACACGAGACTAGTTAGTAAATATCTCTCTGAGTACCTACTGTAGAGTGATAATTAGCAAGCTAGTATCAATAGGCATTGCAAGTGAGTTCGGTCATCACTTGACTATTGTGCCCCTGC